GAGCCAATCAGCGTGTGGTCAGCTATGGGCCGAGCCAATCAAAACGCGAGGTAATTTAATTACCTCGTTATCCCACCCTCACGTCACCGACCAATCAGAGCGCACCATTTTCCCTGACAGACCCGTTTAGGCCACGCCCACCTGGCGCCGGAGGTCGAGTGGAGTGGGTTTGTTTTGACGGCACATAGCTGCCCACTTACTACTCAACTCACAAGCTCGGACCTGTGATTATACGAGCGCTCCATTTGATACTCATTTTCACGATTAATGTTTATTGATTTTTATTGCACAGATTGTTAATAGCATAAACAATTATTATTAGAATTATTAGGTCTAACAGTTTCTTAAGTTTTGACTTGAGAAACAATATATTTTGTGTTTTCTTCCAATAAAGAAAATTATAATATTTAATTAATTTTTTTATTCCCATTTTTTAATATATTTAGATGAGTAAAATCGTGATTATTATAAATCACGGAAATAAGAGATCTGCCCTTTTTAGCTCAATCTGGAGATATGAGTTTTGTTCATACGCTCAATCAATAGCTACTACTCGGATTATATAATAAAAGTGCTTTTATTTTTTTTCCTACGTGCCCTACGAGGGGAGATATTGCGATGCAAAGTCCGGTTTTGTTTACATTTAGTAGGCCGCGCGCCAGCCGAAATGTTACTATCTCACTTTGGCAAGCACTCGACTCACTCTCGTGTGATTTTCCACGTGCGGTTCATGATCGAGCTCGAACGTCCGGCGCCTATTCATTACACTGTTCGAAAAAAAAAATGATTTTTTTCGAATACTAGAATATCAGAAATTAATCATTTTCTACAGCTTTTTTTAAACGAGCGTTAAATAAATTGCCTAACGCCTACTACTAAATGCAAGTGCGCGGTGAAATACGTATACGTTCATTTAGCCGTTAGTGGTAATACTTGTTAGGCCATGTTAGCTACGCGGAGAGTTGTTTCCTTTTGTTGTTCGTATCATATAATTGTTGCCGCTTGTAGTCACAATTTCTCGTGCATTTAATGATCACAATCGTTGGGCTTGTATAATTTGGCGGTATGCCGGGAGGTTGCGCGCTCATTCGGCAATTTGTAATTATACTAATAATTAATAGTAAACTACTGCGAATATTGCAAAATAGTAGACTTTCGGACACAGTTTAGTCCACTCTAACTGTACACAAGCGCTTTGTATGCTCGAAAACTTCCTGGACACCCTATATATCTATACAATGTACATAAACTTACCACTATTGCGTATCCATAAATCAAGCCTGGCATCTGTTTTTGATGGAAAGATATATAAACGTTTTCCATGATATAATCGTCCATTTTCGCAATCTTTATACACGCACTTATTAAAGAACTTGTTTATGTCCAATTGATTTGACATTATTTATTATCTTTAATTTTTCCTTCTATTATAACTATATAACTTTCTCATAAAATTACTTTTCGCAAATACAAAATAAATACGCTACACACGCATGAAATGTGCAAAAGAATCGTTTATAATAATTATTAGAAATGTAACGAACAAGATTTCGCAAATTTATTCTTCATACAGAAATAGATGCATGCGCGACCGCAACTGAACGTTGACTGCGGATTGCACAGCTATTCAAAGAACAAATAAAAATCAAACTATATCTATAGATGCGTTCCCCTTAACACACGTAAGCGACACGCGGCGCCTTTCATCCTTGTTTTTTTCAATCTAAGTAAATATCTTCCGCCCGACTCTCGGCATCCTAATCTGACATTTCTGAATATGTTTTCATGTCTTGATCAATTGTGCATGTACACGTGTACGCGTATAAATGTGTTGCATATATGTACATATATCA